CCCTCTCGCGCGCGGGGGATTAATGTCACGAGGCGTGACGCACGAGTTACTTTCACGGTTATCATCGGTGGCTCGGCGACGCGACGCCCGCCGCGTCGGTGCTTTGAGCGTTCTGCAGATAGCCGCGAACCTCATTCTCCAGTCGCCGGCGAATCGCGTCATTTAATGCGCGTTAATGCTCACCGAAATCTCGTCGAGCCGTCGACGTGCGTTCGCATCGCCGCGGACGCGATCTCCGCCTGCGATCGCGAGGATCTCGATCGTGAACCGGAATCGGCGCGGACGCGGGACATCTTGCTTTGACTCGAATGGGGATAAGCGGTTGTTCGACTCGGTGTAGCGTTCTGTTATTGGAAACTTGAATGATGAATCAATAAATCTAGCATTAGCTCTGTCTGCTTTGATATCGATGGATGGACGAAGATGGATGATTGGAGATTAATAGATAGAAGCGAATATCGTACATTGCTGTCGATTTGATATCATCTGTTTTGTATTTTCCTCTCAAATTTCATCTATCTTGGACAGATTTCAAGATTCCCAAGGTTCACGACCGATCCAGAGACATTTGAAAACCCTCGCGAGTTATTCTAGTCGCCGATAGCCGCGACAAGAGCAATCCGAGTCAGCGCAAACCGAGGGCCATCCAACACTGTCTCCTCACCGGAGGCACTCCAAGATGGAATTTACTCTCCATTTTTCAGCCAGCGGAGGACTCGGGTCTCCGCGAGGCGGACGTCCACGTCGTACGTGAACACTGTAGATCGTCGATAACGCCGATTCCCACGTGTACGTTTATTCGGGCGTCCGACGAACGTTTCCCGGCGACCGGCGGAAAATCCGGCGGACTCGCCGGCCGGGCCCGGGTAATCGAAACCGGTAATTATGCGCGGTGCATTGGCATGCACGCTCGTGGAAAGAGGAACGGGCGCGGATAACAAGGGACTCTCTGCCCGGAGCATCGAAAGTAACGAGGGCAAGGATTGATGTCCGTTCATTCGGTACGATGTACGTCGAGAATTATTACGAGGTGTCCGTATTAAAATAAACTGCCCGGTTCTGTGTGTCCGCGGGAGAAAGAGAGATATCCTCGTTAAAATGACGAGTTATCAGCCGGTATCGTGTTTCGGCCGTCTCCGTGTTTCTTCTTTCTCTCGTTTCCCTTTCCTCCGTCCGGCAATTTTCGATTTTCGAGTCGCGATCGCCGGGCTAAGTAACTCCGACCGATCGACCGATCGATCAGCGATGTCCCGCGACTCCCGAGAACCTGCTACGTTTCACATTTCCGCGACACGTTTCTGGCTAGACACGCAAGCACAGTCGTCGTTTCTGCTTGTTTCGCTTGCCATTCTCCCGGGTTTCAATGGTTTCCTCCTTTTTCCTCGCGTTACGCGAGTTCCACGGTTCCCCCGGCGGACGATCGGCGACTTTATCGCCGACGCCGACTGTCCGCGCGAAGATATTTACGATCGACGTCGGGCCGGATGGAAAAAGTGTAATTATTCAAGGCCGGGGCTAGGCGGAGCAGGCGAAATCGGCAGCGAGCGCGATCGCGATGGGACTCGACGGCCGAGAGTCGTTAACCGCCGTAAGGACTTCTAATCACCGGCATCGGTGAGCCTTAACGATTACACCGTTTCATCGCCTTATAGGCCGCACAATTGCGTTACGCGGTTCGGTCTCGTGCGTTTCGTTTTCGATGAGCGTTAAGATCGGTCGGTTTCTCTCTGGCCACCTCCCCCTCTTCCCCGTCCACCCTTTACATCTCCGTTCCCGCAGCTTCGATCGTACCCTCCTTATAGTCTCACGTTTCCGCCGCGATATCGGACCGTGAAATTTTTAAACAAAGCTATGCGCGTCGAACACGATCGAGCACGGCGGCGGCTCGACGTTCGGCGAAAGCGTTTTAAACGCTTGGAAGCCGGTCGCTTTTGACGACCTCGTAATCCATTCGTATTGCTTATCAATGTCCTTTTCCCCGGCGTCTTATTTTTACAGAGATAATGAAATAAGCGACGGTGCTCGGATAGCCGAGCGGTGAAGTTAGGCGAACCCTTTGAACCGGTAAAAATGGACCCCGCCGCTTGCTGTCTCTCCGATTCGTCGTTAACGTCGGATAATCTCGCGCTTAAGACTGATTCGATTTAGTCGGTTTTTATTGTCTCTACGGTGCGTTCTTAGGGTCCCGCGGTTTCTTTCGCGATTGCGAAATGTGGAATTATCTTGTCGTTAATGATTTGTCGGGTCTGATCGGAATTCTACTTTCACTGTGAGTCTACCGAAGACTAAACATTGGTAAGAGCAGTGTACCGTTGCAGTTTGATTGCAAAAGGATTAACTGGAGCAATCTTTGTACTGGGAACTGTCAGAAGTAACGTATCACGTTGCTCCGATTATCCTCGAACTTCGATATTCGAACAAGAAACAGTCGGATGTAACGTACAACGTTGTCATAGTTGCAATTATTATTTCCAATATCATCGTATACAAGTACGCAACGGTTAACCCTTTGCACTCGGATGTTTTTCACTAGAAATATTCAACAGTTTCCAATGAGTTACAGATGACATCCTTTAATTATTATTTCAATATTTCAAATATTCATGGATTGTAAGAAGCTTAATATTACATGTAAGACTTTATGATTTTGGTATATCGAATTTCATGGTGACTGAGAGTCGCCTCTCGAGTGCAAAGGGTTAAAAGTAATTCTCGGTGAAAAATTTAACACCAGCCTTCGACCGATTATCGCAGTCCACGAAGTACAGAGAGGGCACTCAAACACATTCTTTCCCGTCCGAGCATCCACCGCTAGACGAACTTACCCGAAAAAAACGTTCAGACGTCTGGAAGATCGTCGCGCCTCGAATATTTTTAATAGAACTCCTCAGAGAAAGAAACACGGAGAAGGAGAGAGAGACGGAGATAGCGGAGAGTCTGGCTGTCGCCGCCCTAAGGTCACCGGAAGTTACGAAACGACCGTGGCGCGCGACACAGCGCTCGTTTCATAAATTTCGAGTATGCTGTGAACACTCACCGAAAGTTGTTGACGGCGAGGCGTCGCGGCGCTGGGTCCCGGCGCCGCGCATGTTGTTCCGCGTTGCCCCGCGACAGCCAGCCGTTCCACGGTTTTCGTGAACGATCCATGAAGATGATCCGCTCCGAGGCTCAGGCCATCCTGCGCAGCGAAACAGAAAACGTCGATGACGTCAAGCACTACCGATGAAACGTCGAACCTTCGAATCGCTTCGAACGCGAATCAATTCGATAGCGAAATTTCAAATTTTCGATCCGAAGTTCGAATCGCTTCTAACAAAATTCAATACCTTCCGATCTTCGCGCGTCTCCGAATTCTTTAACCTCTCGACTTCAAGCCGAGTCTCGGTCTCGTCGAGTCAACGACAGCACCAGCTGTCTTTGTACAACGTATTGTCGCAGCGACGGCCATTCATATGCGCGGAACTCGCATACCATCGCGAACGAGGCCGAGACTCAGCTCGAACGCGAGACGTCCGAAAGTTCGGTGCGTTAAGTCGCCCGAGAATCGAATCCCGTCGAGACTCTTCGAACTTCGAGCCTCGAAAACGTCGAGCCGCCTCGAAACTGGGATTCAAATGCCTTCGCTACGAAAGCACACGAGGTTTCTCGGCGGCCGGACCTCATTACCCGGCCAGAATGATATAGAAGCGTAAGAAGAAGAGAAACCAGGAGGAGAGCGCAACAAATCACGGGAGCGCGAGAGGGAAACTCTCTCGCGGGTAGGACCGCGAGCACGCTGGACGCGTTCGAGACCGGTTAAGGTTGATCGCCTTAAGTCCCCGTTGCCGCTAAGTTTTACCTTCTCTCATTGTGTAATAAACCCTTGCCGGTCGCGCGCGAGATCTGCCCACCGAGAAAGAAGGTGTTCAATAATTCTGCTCCCTCGGCTTCTTCGAGTTGGTACGCGCGCGACGGCCTCCTCGTTAAAACGGCCGGATAGAAGGAGCGAGAGAGGGCCAGAGAGGGAGAGAGAGAGAGAGAGAGAGAGA